AATGGACCAGGCCTATTTGAGAAAGCCTCCAAACACCCTCAATAATATGGGTTTCCAAGAGCTTTCAGGCTGGCAAACCCATGCACCCCCCAGCTCCATGGGGACAGAGGCTTCTGCACTCGGGACCTTCCCAGACCTCGCCCTAGGTATCTCTTCATCTGTATCTTTTATCATGTCCTGTAATAAACTGGTAAACTTCAGTGTTTCCCTGAGTTCTGTGATCCACTCTAGCAAATAAATCGAAGCTAAAGAAGGGGTTGTGGGAACCTCCAATTTGTAGCCAAGTCAGACAGAAGTTGTGGGAACCTGGGGACCTGCTAGTTACGATTGGCATCTGAAGTAGGGAGCAGCCTTGTGGGCTGAGCCCTTACCCTGAGGGACAGGATGGTGTCTCCGGGCAGATGGTGTCAGAATGGAGTTAAAATGCAGGACGCCCAGCGGGTGTCCTCAATGGTTTGGTGTGGGGAAAATCCTACCTGTTTGGTGACCAGAAGTGTCAGAAGTCAAGTGTCCTGTGTGTACAGAGGAAACATCGGTGGAAAATGGAGTTTTTCCTAAACACCAGTGTTTTTCAAATTTTTTTCCCCACAATATGTTTTACATAGCAGGCCCGCTCACACACAAACCCATACAGATAGACAAAAAAACAGGTATAAGGGTCCCCAAACTGCTGCAGACAGTATTCTGGGTAGAGGAAGGAAAGGCCTAGATGTGTAAGCAGCACTGAATTGGCAGATTAAGTGATGAGGGGGGAGTGACTTCTTTCCCCCTCAGCTGACTGAGATCCTGTGGTCTACAACTTGGTGACCAACACCTTGTCAGGAAATGCATTATCCTGTCACCGTCCACCATCAGTCACGTGTCCCAGAAGGCTCCAGGGGAAGAGAGATTCCGGCAGAAAGGCCACACGCATTTCAGAGTCCAAAGAAGTCTCGCTGCCAACCCGCAGAGCACATGGAGCTAGCAATTACTCACCTGTAAAAAATATCTCCTTTGTCCTCAGCCTGTAGAAAGAGGGTCTAGGGAATATTTAGGTCTCCAACTTTGAGTTTCAAGGCCACAGTGCTTAGAACTGGGACAGGGAAGATAGGACACAATCTCTCCTTGTAAAGCCAGAGTGCTAAATCAAGCATGAAAGAGTCCAAGGGCCCTAGGCTAACATCTGCTGTTGGGTCAGAGCCTCAACAAGCTCAAGCCCCAGCTCTGCAATGCTTGGCTCTGAAGAATGAGGGAGTCCAGGGGATTATTAGAAGCCCCACAAAAAACAGCAACACATACTGAAGAGCTCATTAAAGAGGAAGAGCTGCAAAAAAAAAAAAAAAAAAACAAACCAAAGGAAACTACACAGACAAGTGAAAAATAAACAACTTAATTTGAAAAAAAAAAAAAAAAAAAAAAGAGGAAGAGCTGCTTCAGGACCCCGAGGGACATTGCCCTCCTTGGTCAAATTGTTTTTAAGCCTTATCATATCAAAGCATCTTTCCAGGGTAAATCTTGGAACACTTCATAGTGAAAGAGTCTTTTAAATAGAGATGAAGATGCACGAATCAACTTTGGGTTTTAGAAATTTAGTTTTAAAAAAAAAGTTGCCAAGGAGCCCCTGGGTGGCTCAGTCAGTTAAGCGGCTGCCTCCAGCTCAGGTCATGATTCCGGGGTCCTGGGATCGAGCCCTGCAGCAGGTTCCCTGCTCAGCAGGGAGCCTGCTTCTCCCTCTCCTCCCCACTCGTGCTCTATCTCTCTCTCCCAAATAAATAAATAAAATATTTAAAAAAAGTTGCCATAGGTGGGGGGGATGGATTAAATACGTGATGGGGATTAAGAAGTGCAGAGATGAGCACCAGGTGATGTATGGAAGTGTTGTACACCTGAAACTAATATTACATTGTGTATTAACTGGAACTTAAATAAAAATTCAAATAAATACAAATTTATTTTTGTTGCCATGCACCTCCTGGTTGCAATACCATGTCCCTCTCGGGCTTTTCACGCAGGAGGCAAGGGGTGTTCCTGCAACCTTCTTTTCCCACATCGGGGCTGATGCAGGCTTCCAGGAAGCTGGGTGCTGACAGCTGCTTGTCCAGGCAGCTCTCAGCACCCAGCTCAAAGAAACAGGCCTTCGTGGCAAAGGTCCCGGGCAGATTCAATCTTCGCTCCACAAAATATTCAAGCAGCACAGAAGAGTTGGCTTACCAGTGACCTAACACAGGCAATAAAGAGGTTGCTGAAATCAGGAGCCGCTTGCTCACTGCACCCTTCCTCAGGCTCTGGGCTCTATCTCCTCCTCCCGTCTCTGCTCCCCATTGAAGAGGCGGCTGAGATATAAACATATAAACGATCTTTCCCACAGCTTTCTCTTCCCAGAGTCCCTCCTTAGCCTCGGGGGCAAGCCCCTGCTCCTTTCGGTGGTGATACAACTAGACTGTGGCAAATACACAGCAGAGGCACGTTTTGGTCCAAGGACCCTCTCAGAGCCCCAGTTCTAGTCTCCAGACCCCTTCTTTATCTTCAATCCGAATCTCTGCTCTTCCCACCAAGCCCTAGAGGCCAGGCTTGAGAGCCTCCCTTTCCTGTGTGGCAGTACACTCACTCCTGCCTTCCAGCCTTGCAAGTCTTGGCGCCACGGGCAACCCCACCCCGCTTCCACCCTCTTCACACTCTGTGAACAATCACAGTCTAGCTATACCCTGCCAAGCAAGACTGCCAAAGAAAGACGAGAACCCTGGGCTGTCAGATGACAAACCCAGGTCTGGAATGGAAGGTTTCCAATGCATTCTGAAACCTGGGGTGTGAAGTAGCTGACAAGCAGAAGGGGGAAGAAGAGTCCTCAGAGAAAAATTTCCGTTCTTCCCATTGAAGGGGAAAGGGGAACTAGAAGGAAGGGGCCAGGGACAAAGGGGGCTGTATTTCTAGTTTCTTTGGTCTAGAAAAGATTTGTGTAAACTTGGCTATGCCCCTGGGGGCTTTGCAGTCAACTACATTCTTGGCAGGAAGAAAGAAAAAGAGCAGTGGACTAATTGAACGATGCCCAGAGAAAGCCAAACATGAAACCCTTAAACGGCTGCTGTCAGCATTTCCAGAGGCTTGGTGTTTCCGCCAAGGGCCTGGAGCGGCTCCATTTCCTCCCATGCTGATTGGTGAATCTCTAAGTAGTCACCGGACCTCCACTGTGACCAGTTCTTCTCCCATTGAGGAGGACACACACTGGCCAAGCCTAGGGCTCCCACAAAGCCACCACCCCAGACAGGGCCACCTCCCCCCAGTGAAGACTCAGCCCACAAAGCTGAGCTCCTTAAAAGGGACATTCTAACTCCTCTGAATGCCACAGTCCTTTAGTGTTTGGGCTGTCTGACCCACACCTTCCAGATGTGGACAACAGGGGGCCCATCTTCAACAGGCATTAAAATCATGTTTTTTCACCCTCCCAGGAAAGTTGGGGGTGGTGAGGGGGGGTTGGGCGGCGGGGGAACAGGCCAGCGGCTCAAAGAGACACATTAACATATTTTATTAAGTTTACCATACAAAGTCTATGCCAAAGGAAAGAACATCAGAACTGGACAGGCCCATGGAGACCATCCGGACCCCTCTTTTTACAAATGAGGAAAGTGAATGAGGAACACCAGAACAGCATTCTGGACAGCACCGGCCTGTCAGCCCAGTCCTGACACACAGAAACACACAGACGTCGGGCTTCTGGTTTTGAGCCAAGTAGAGCCTAAAGACTTGATCCATGTTGACTCTGAATGTTTCTGTGCCCTACAGTACCACATTCTGATGCTTCTCTCCTCCTTGAGGCTGCAGGAAGAGCCCTAAAGAAAACATCATGAGTGTCAGGGTCATCCAGAGCCAGAAAAACAGACCGACTGTGGAGCAGAGGGTGCAGAGGGCTGAGGAGAAGAACTCAATCCCACCCAAGAGAGTCCTGATCACCCCTTCCCCCCAAACAACACACACTCAGACCCCAAAGCCTCAGGGCAAATATGCTTGCCTTCCTGAAGTTCAGATCAGGTTTGAGGGAGGAAGGGAAAGAAGGAGGTAGAAGAAAAGGAGAAAAAGATTTACTTCTGAAATCAACAAGTCCAGTGGGAACACATTTTTCCCAGCACGGAGCAAATCCAAACACCACAAGAGAAGGCTGTAAAACTCTGGTATTAAATCAGCTGTGAGATGTAAGGAAAAACACCAATAACTTAGCAAAATAAATACAATGAGAGTTTCACTGAAATTGATGTAACCCAGTGAAAACAGTTTTTAGGCTCTTGAGTCAAGAAGACTGACATGTACCTTGCACTGCATCTTAGAGGAAAGCCCTAAGAGATGCCAGGAGGCTTCCCAGCAGAGAGAAGTCACACAGAACTACCTGCGGCCCTACAGAATCTTTCCACTAAAAGCTACTCCCGGAATGTACATTTCCTTCTCCCAGGAAGACAAGGCTGGCCGGTCAAAGCCAAGGCTCGCTGGCTCTGCCCAGGCCATGGCAGGCCGCCCTATGTCTGTCCGTAGGAGGCCCGGGTCAGCAGGGGCTGAGGGCGGAGCGAGTGGGAAAACAAACAACATGTTGCGAAGAACTGAGCAGTGTTTGTGGAGGGAACTTCATTCCCCCGGGCCGCCCTCCCATCACTGTGGACAGCGGTGCCTCCGGCATCGCCAGGTGAGTCTCCCGACCCAGTGACGGCCTGGATTCTGGGCCAGCTGAGCTCCAGTCTACAGGAGAAGGGAGACTCTGCTACAGAGAAAAACAGTAACTACAGGAATAAGGATACCGCCCTGGCTCTTGTTGGCCGGTTAACGTCCTCCAGAGGGCTGCAGTGTCCAGAGCAGGTGTTCATCCTCTGTCTGCCCAGCAGACGGGGGACAGGAGTTCGGGAAGAGTGGGACGCATGAATCGCCCAGCCCTGAGTGCAGCCTGGGAGCGGTCAGGAAGTCGAAGTCAGGGCGAAGAGCCTGGCGGGCTTCTCCGCAGGCGAGAGGTAGCACCAAGAGCAGCATCCGGCTCCTCCCGCTCATGTTTCCACCACTCGGATAAGAGGCAGGGGCTTATCAGGGCTGGGGGGCTTGGATATCCTCACGCTGAAAGAAAGCCGGAAACACTGAGTGCTTTGCCGCCCGCCCCGCACGCGGCCGCCTCCCGCATCGGCCCCCCACGTCCACACTTCGAAACAGTGACTGTCAGCAGCGTCTAAGAGAAGATACGGGGTGGGGGGGTGCTGCTGCCTGGGGGGCAGGGGTGATGGAAACGCAGGGACTGAGAAGCGGGTCTAGCTGTGAGTCTTGACTTTTTTCAAAGTCTGGGACCTTTTTGTGAGTCTCTTGGAAACAAAAGGCCCTCTCTCTAGAAATACACACTTGCTACACCTTCATGATTTTCGCAAACAATTGCAGGGTGTCCATCTGTGTCCGGAGGCTGTTCGTGGGCCTCCTTGGGGTTGTGCTATCAGGCTCTACTCTGACCTGGTTAGAAAGTGGTTCAGGCGGAGAACAGGTCAGATTAGACTGTGAGCGTAAGCGGGATTTAAAAGAGCCTTGCCCTTGCCTCAGCACTAAAGCTTTCCTTCCCACAGCTCTGTCCCTCTTCCCTCACTTCTCACCCAGGCCCCAGCACAGGCATGCCCCCCTGCTCACCTGCCCAGGTTCTCAGTCTTGGTCCAGGTCTGGGTGCTAAAGTGGCCATGACTGATCTGCTTTTCTATCAGGTGTTCCATCCGGTCATGCATCTCTAAATTCTGTAATACAAGTTGTGGGATCAGAGTTGGCCATTTGTGACATTTAACTAGCTCATTCTGCAGCACCTGTTTGTGCTGCAGTCACCGCCACCCCTACCATGCGTGCCACCACCAGGGTGCCCTCTCCTCCCACCCCTCATCTTCACCACTCCCGACCACCCTCTTCCTCCAGTTGTTGCTCCTGCCTCCTCCCCTCAAGAACTGTGTGCAACACTGATCCTTCCCTGCTGTCCTCCCCAGCTCTCAGCAAAGGCAAAAATTAGACTAAGAAGAACTCATGAGCTGATCGAGGCCATCACCTTAGCCGTGGAGAACACAAGACCCCTCCTACAGAATGCCTCCCCCTTCACAGCCCAGCTCCACTGTCACCTCCTCTGTTAAGCCCATGGCACGCGGCTCACACGGGGACAATGTGCCCCTTTAGAGTGGGGACAGGTTTTACCACCGTAACTCCCTGAAGGTTCTCAGAAAACACTGACTCAACTGAACTGCACGTCAAAAATCATCCCAGATACTCACTTCCCAGCAGCAGCCAGACAGGACGAAGACCCCTCCAGAATCTCTCCCTCCCTATGTACAGTCCTGTCTTCAAGAGCCTGCTCCCTTCCCAGGGCTGCCCAGTGCACACACCTCTGCTTCCAGGTAGGCGATTTTCTCCTTGAGCTCCTGGATGGTGCTGTCCTTTGACTGGACCACAGCTTTTGAGTTCTGGAGCTACAAAGATGTGGGAGACAATTGGGTTCATTTTGAAATGACTCAGTACACACTCATCGAACTTCACCCTGCTGCCGGGGAGCCAGCAGAAACATAAGGCAGACTTTTGTACCTCTTACACAACTTGCTTAGCTTTTCTAGAAAAGCCTCATTTCAGTCAATACTGAGCTCTTGATTATCCCAGGCGTGAGGGGAGGGGTTGTGAGAACATCACCCTGATGATCCAAAATCACGGATGGCTCAAAACGCATTCCAGGGCGCCTCGGTGGCTCAGTTGGTTAAGCGACTGCCTTCGGCTCAGGTCATGATCCTGGAGTCCCGGGATCGAGTCCCGCATCGGGCTTCCTGCTCAGCAGGGAGTCTGTTCTCCCTCTGACCCTCTTCCCTCTCGTGCTCTCTATCTCTCATTCTCTCCCTCTCAAATAAATAAATAAAATCTTTAAAAAAAAAAAAAAACAACGAATTCCATTTGATGTTGGGAAATACAAATTATTTATTCATTCAAGAAATATTTGTTGGGGCGCCTGGGTGGCTCAGTTGGTTGGGCATCTGCCTTTGGCTCAGGTCATGATCTCAGAGGCCTGGGATTAAGCCCCGCGTCGGGCTCCCTTCTCAGCGGGGAGCCTGCTTCTCCCTCTCCCTCTGTCCCTCCCCTGTGCTCTCGCTCTCAAATAAATAAAAATCTAAAAAAAGAAAAGAAAAAGAAATATTTGTTGAGTGCTTACTATGTGACAGGCTCTGTTCTAGATGCTGGGAAATAGCAGTGAACCAAACAGAAAAATCCTAGTAGTCGTGGAGCTGACATGCAGCAAATATACCCTCCCAGTTAGGGGGTTTTAAGTTCTCAAGACAATTCTGCAAAATGCCATATCCTGAGTATGCTACCCTAAAGCTCAGGTGGGGAAAGGCAGAAAATCTGCCGTGAGGTACAAAGGTTGATAATCTGCACACAGATAAGTGAGTTTATTGTGACTTCATTATTCATTTACCAGCACTCTTCAAAGTGTAAGAGAGACTAACCTTTTCCTTCTTTTCCCATTGGAAAGCAAAGGCAAATGACTAAAACCATAGGGGAAAGATGGGAGAAAAGCAAATCCCAGTCACCCAAACCTAGTAATTGGTAGCCATAAATGTTTTAATATAAGGAATATAAGCCAAGCTCCCCAAGAGAGTGAACAGCAAAAGCATGGACTTGACAGAAAAACAGGACTGGGCTCCATGTGGCGACTTCCCAAGAGGGCAGGTGACGTGTGGTAACACAGGCCCTGTTTACCTGCTCTATCATTTGCCGCACTTTCCGCTGCTGGCTCTTCAGCATATCATCCAAGTGGTGGATCTTCTCCCGCAACCCAGCCACTTCCTTTTCCAGACTGGCAGCCCTGGGCATTAACACCAGAAAGCTGAGGTGAGGGGAAAAGATGCCTTCTCTACCCAGTCACAGGAAGAACCTTGGGCTTGGGGGCTTCCACGAACTGGATCCCCTCTGCCTGATGCCCCACTGGTCTGCCATGAGGCGGAGGTGCTCGGGACACCTTGGAACAGCACAGTGGAAGCCTCACTAGAGATCAGCTAGTCTGAACAGGGACACTGCAGCTCAGAGAGGTATGAATGGATAAGTCATTCTGGAATGCTCTAGAAGGTACAACTAGAACCAATAGGTAGATGTCCAGGGAAGCAGTCCTTACGCTAACACAGGACAGACTTTCTCAGCATCAAAGCTATCAGAACGTGGACTGCCTCAGCTGTGATGAACTCCTCATTCCTGGAAAGATTCAAGTGGGAGCTGGGAGTTTAATACCCAATGCCATCAAACTGTTGGAAAGGACTCTATGTCAAAGGGGGATAAGATTTACGGGTCCTTAAAGCCTCTTCACACAGGTGTGTTCCTATGTCTCCTGATTCCCAGACACTGATATATCCTCTGCATCTTCTAAACTGGGCCAAGATCCCCAGAGGTCCAGCGACTGGGCAGGGTGTCCAGGAGTTCAGACCTCTGAAGGACCGCCGGTGCCCATCACTCTCCGCTCCTGCCTGGGGAAGCAGACAGGTGCCGTTGGAAGGGCAGCGCTCCCGGTGAGGGTGGGGGTGGGGTACAATGCAATCTGAGCCCCGATATCCTCCCTAAGCCTCAAACAATCTGAGAGTCCACCCTCAGCTCTCCAGTGCCCTATTGCTCAGTCTCCTTTTATTTAGAAAATTAACGTTTATGGTGCATAGCCATCGCTTGCCATTCCCAAGCCTCTGTTTTGGATTATCTGGGTCTTCTTTTGTTTCTCCTGCTGCTTCCTCTCAGTCACCTGCCCATGAGCACCACTGCTGAGAAAGAAGGAGTGCTGAGTAATTTAAAACAATTCCGTGATGAGGTCAAGCCCAAAAGGAGGCGACAATAAAATGTCTGCATGTCTCATGCCTAGACTGAGGTTATCCCAAAGGAAAGAAGATGCCCCCCACCGACTGCAGGGTCCAAAGGGGCAAGGATCATGTCTGTTGGGGCGGCTGAGTGGCTCAGTTGGTTAAGCGTCTGCCTTCGGCTCAGGTCATGACCCCAGGGTCCTGGGATCGAGCCCCACATTGGGCCTCCTTCTGCTCAGCGGGGAGCCTGCTTCTCCCTCTCCCTCAGCTGCTCCCCCTGATTGTGTTCTCTCATGCTCTATCTCTGTCAAATAAATAAATAAATAAAGTCTTTAAAAAAAAAAAGGGATCATGTCTGCTAATCTTGGAATGCCTTAGAAGGCCCTCCAGGTGACGTCCGTTGAACTTAACAAGATCCAACTTATACCACAGAGGGCAGGCCCAGTATGCTGGTGTTAAACTTTGATTTACCATTTGAGGCCTTATTTATTAGTAGCCAGCAGCATAAACAATTTCCCAAATCTTAAAGGTCCAAAATGGCCTGCTCTTTGCTCTACAGGTTTCACTGGTAGGGCCTCTGTGAAGTCAGACACTTCACAGACAGAATCTGTGAAAACCCTGGGGTGGAAAGGACCCCAGAGACCCCCTGCATGCCACTGCTGTCGGCTGGTTCTCAGGTACGGCAGCTTCAAGTGACAGGAAGTTCAGAATCTCTTCATGAAGCTGCTCACTGTATTTTTCAAAGCATGACTTGTGAGGAAGTTATTTGATTTACCCTCAAATAATTTACAGTTGGTCTTTGTGTTTGGGGGAGGAACCTGCGGTGCAATACTACCGCAGCCACATCCGGCATGCCACAGCGGCAGGTACTTTACCAGCTCTCACTTGACCTTGGTTCTAACACCATGCAAGCCTTTTCTTTAGGCTCCCACTCCATGGAAAATGACCTCCTCAGAGATGGCAGCCTCCCAAACAGTATCTCCCTGGGCGGGACCCCACCCAGAGCAGCCGCCCCGTGAGTCAGAGCTGGAAGATCTGACATCAGCTCCAGCTTCCTCCCCAGGCCTGGCTGCACAGAGCTGCAGGCTGCATGGCCCGCCCTCCCCTCCCTGCACCCCAGCTTCCCGGGGAACGAGGGCCCTTACTTTTCTCGTTCTGTTTGGCAGTCCGTGTCCTTGCTCCGAAGTTCCTCCAGGGCTGTTTCCCCTTCCCTAACCTTCACCAGTAAGGCCTGATGCTCCTGGATGGGCCGAAGGGAAGAAAATCTAGGATAAGGAAGTGGCAAGGGTTTCTGTGTTTGGGGCGAAAGGGGCCTGAGGGCTGGGGCTCAGCCCCTATTGGGTCTGGGACATCTGCCAACGAGCAGCAGGCCAAGCTGGTTTGCTGGGGCGCCCTCCCCTGTCAGGGATAACCCTTCCCACCCTCAGCACACAAACTTCCCAGCCTCACCCAGCTATCTGGACAGAGAGCCTGGCCCTGCATTATCCAGGCCCACCTGCCGGCTATGGCTGCCGGTCCCCGGGAAACCAGGCCCAGTGGCTCCTTAAGAGCAGTCTTGTCTTTTTTCTTTTCTTTTAAGCACACTTCAAAAGCCCATAAAGGGCAGCTCTACAAGAACCCAACTGAAATGGAAATGGGTTCAACTCTAGTTAGCAAGGGCTGAGCTTAGCTGAGAGAAAGACCTCTTGTTCCTTAAAGGCTAAAAGGTTCTCGAAGGTATTTGCTGAGGAAGCCGTGAAGTGTGTTTTTCTGGAGCTGCTCAGAAAAGCAGACTACCATGGTCTCAGTCAATCCCAGGACCAGCCCCCGCTCCCCCACAGCCCCCAGAGCAGGAGTTAGGCCCTGAAGGCAGGACTCCAACAATTACCGCCTGCATGCCTAGCAAGCGCTTCTGGAGCTCTCCCACATCTGCCTCCTTCTGCTCCACTCTGTCCTCCGCTCTCTGAAGGGCCACTTGACTCTGTTCTGCTTCTCTCTGGTACCGGCTGAGTGTGACCTAAGACAGGATGGGGATGGGTGAAGGGGATGGAGGGGAAAGAGCAAACATGGATAAAAACCTTAGGAGAGAACCCAGGACCCTGGGCGCAGTGATGGGAGAAGGGAGGCACCCCTCTCTTTCCCATTCACGGTTCTAGGACGACTTGGGAAACTAGCAGGTATCTCCATTTCCAGCAGGTATCTCCATTTCCAGGGTTCACATAGTTGATCAAGTTCTACTTTATTTTTTTTTTAAGATTTATTTATTTATTTGAGGGAGAAGGTGCGAGGGGTAGGGGTGGTAGGGAGCGGTAGAAGGAGAGGGAGAGAAAGTCTTAGGCAGACTTCGCACTGAGCGTAGAGCCGGACACGGGGCTCAATCTCACAGCCCTGAGATCACGACCTGAGCTGAAACCAAGTCAGACACTTAACTGACTGCACCACCCAGGCGCCCTGATCAAGCTCTACTTTAGAGTGACATCTGGAACCCAGAAGCGCCTTCCAGATGGCAGACTTCTTCAACATCCCCCCAAGGCGGCCAGTGCCACCCAAGCTTAACCCAGTGCTGTGGCTTTCCTACAAATGCAAATGCAAAGAATCCAGGGGAGCACATCTCCACATCCTTCCTTCCGTGCCCCAACTCTTCCTCACCCTCACATCAAGCAATATTGCAGCCTGCATACAAAGGCCAAAATGGCCTCTGGAAGGGCTACTAAGCACCAGAAGAACTGCTCCATTTCCAAGACGATAAGCCAATCTGGGAAGGATAGAAGCAGAACTGCAGAATGAAAAATTAAGGAAGAACTTGCCTCCCTTCCTCCCACATGCCAACTTCAGGTCTCAGCTTTGATACCCTTCCTTCCAGAAGCCTCCATGCCCAGTGAGGAGTCCTTCCACTGTGTGGCCTTCCCTCTTACAGCACCAAATGGATTTTGCCCAGTCACTTGTGTGCGCTCCCCAGTGGGCCATCAGCAGGGGCCTTGAGCTCAGCACAGCACCTAGCACACAGTTAATGCTCGCTAACGTCATGAGTGGAACTGGTACTCATCTAGTCCGATCCTCTCCTTTTGCAACTAAAGGTCAACTGATCTCCCCAAGGTACACAGCTAGGGAATAACAGAGCCAATGCTAGACCACAGTGCCTTCATCATCCATCTCAGTTCTTCCCAGCTACCCCACACCGACTCCCCAGTCAGTTACTGAAAAAGAATCCACGGAACCTCTCAAAAGTTCATGCAGCCCTGGGAAAACAGAACACCAAAGAAGCCAGTTTGTCTGACTCCTCCCAAAGTCAGAATGAGGGAAGAGAAAGCACAGCACAGGATGATGTGTGATGGGACATGTCCATGCTGCACACAAGCCCTGTGCAGAGCAGACTCTCCGCAAACCCTTCCTGACAGCAGGCTGCTGCTGGGAGAACGGAAAACCCATGCTTACTGGCAGGTTGTTTTCACGGTAATTGACAATCTTGCCCTTGCTACCCCCTGGCTCAGAAACGTAGATCAGAGAGTCTCATTCACTAGCAAAGACCAAGAAAAGCCTCTGAAGGTCCCATATTAGCCTGGAACAGGCCAGCCCCACGGACAGGAACATAAAAACAAAACTTCTCATTTCTGTACCTAACACTGCATCCAGGTTGATGTGTACTCAGAGCATAGCGTTAATGGACCACGGGCTGTCCCCACACTCTGCTGTTGGGATCACAAAGGGAATAATACATACTCCTCTGCCACATCTGTCCTTGTTGCTCCAGTTGGCAGTGCCCCGAAGGAACCTCTTAGTCATAAAAGGGTGTGCCAACCTACCCCAACAGTGGAAACAGCACCTCTGATTGCAGGCAGGTGCTACTTACCAAGGGCAGCCCCTTCTTAGAAACTGTGGGAGGGTGGCTACAGCTTGTCAGAGACCTTCCGGCCTTAGGCTTTCATTCCGGACCCTTTTGTCCAAGCACTGAAACCCAGAGTGAGCAGACCCCTCCATGGATAGCCAAAACCAACCAGTGCTTCATAATACCTCTCCGTGTAGAAATTTCTTTCCAAAATTCACAGTCTGGTCAGTGCTACAGTCTCAACCGCCCCTTCCTCCTGCTGTGTACCAAGAAGGTAGGGAACAGCTAGTCACCAAAATGATACATCGTCAACCCAATTATCCAAATTGTGGAATCTGAAACAGATGCGGCAACTCCTTTACTGCACAGCTACTTTGTTCTGAGACCAAACTAATCGCAGTATCACGCTAAGTCCAAACTACTTAGGATAGGAAAACCAACTTAACTAAATTGATCACTAAGAAAAATATAGGGTATCTTATATTTCTAAAATCCTTCAGAGTAATAAATATACTTACATATCTTACCTCACTCAGTTCACACACCACACTTGTAAGGTATACTTAAAATGACCCATTTTTACATAATTTGGAACTGATACTTAGGTTAAATTACTTGCTCAAATAATTGGTCATCTCTAAAGGCAATTGATTATCCCTGTGCCTTCTTCCTCCCCCTCAATATCCCTCTCAAAAATTCTCTCTCTTAGTCCCATGGAAGAGAAGCATTCAGTCTTCTTCCTACCACCAGCTCCTGGCATGCCTGGGCAGGGCATATCCTATCATTACAAATTTATGACACAGAAATACTTTACATGTGGCTGAACAATAGCAGATAACAGATGGTTAATCTCACACAGAAGCCTAGTGTTTTCCTAGTGTACCTCATTTTATACACAAAGAATTTTCTGGAAAGTATGGCAGACCTCACACAGTTTTTAATGGCGGGGGGCTTTCACTCTCTACAGACTTTTGTACTTCTTTAATCTTCCATAATAATTTAGTATTACTTTTGTAACAATAATTGAAATACTCATTCAAGATCACAAAGCTCTGCATAGTAAAATCAAGACTTGACTTCAAGTCCTCTGACTCCATAGGCACAGATCTTTCTACAACCACACTGTTCCATCCACTCAACTAGTCCACACTTGAGAGGTACCCACCTTACATCAGGCGTTATGCCAGACATGGGGATGCGGGGTGACCTTGACAGCAATAGTCCCTGCCTGCATGGTGCCTAGAGCCCAGTAATTCTTACTGTGGTAAGAGTAATGCCCCCTGAGTTACTTGCTATCCCAGACCAGCAGCGCTACCACTCAACTTCAGTAGAGAACCAAGTGCCAACCTTTAAACCATGGGCTAGCCTTGAACAGCAAAAACGATACGTGTCCAGGCATGCGAAAAGCAGACAGGAAAATGCCCAGGCCTCAAAGCCTAGCCTCTCCAGTTGATGGCACACAGCCAGAAAGACATGAAGTCCATGCTAAGTCACTGGCACCTATATCCAGCAGCCTAACCCTTGGGGCACCTTCTCCTCAAATCCCAAATCTCACCTCAAAAGCCACACGGTCAGACTGGTGCTGCCGCTCAGCCTCCTGCAGCTTGACAAGCAGGTCCCGCACGGTCTTCCTCAAGCTCTCGACATCTTCATTTATATAGGCATCTACCTATAGTCAGAACAGGGAAGAGAAGGTGAAGGCCCTGTGTTTGTATAAGAGAAGGTCCCCCTTGGGGCGCCTGGGTGGCTCAGTCAGTTAAGCATCTGCCTTCGGCTCGGGTCATGATCCCAGGCTCCTGGGATCGAGCCCTGCATCGGGCTCCCTGCTCAGCGGAAAGCCTGCTTCTCCCTCTCCCACTCCCCCTGCTTGTGTTCCCTCTCGCCCTCTCTCGCTCTGTCAAATAAGTAAATAAAATCTTTTTTAAAAATTACCATTAAAAAAAAGAGAGAGAGAGGGTCCCCCGCAACACACACTTGGGCCCTCTTGTCCAGACCACCCTCACATCACTCAGGGGGAGAGTTAGTCTTGGGCACCCAGGTGCTCTGAGTTATTCACGTGAAAACACTCTTTCTTCATATCCTAAGGAACTCAACCAGCCTCAAATCGCTGAATGATTTTAGGACACACTCAGTAATTTTTATACAGGTACCAGCTGATTAAGAGGTATGCTTATGCCATCCTCACCTGCAGGTCCTGCTTCCATCAGACTAGAGTTCTCTGAGAGCAGGCACTGTGTTCCCCTTTAGACTACAGTGCCCCAAGGGCAGGGACTGTGCCACACCCACCATGAGGGGTGCATCCCAAAGGCACATCTTTTGGTCTTCTCTGCATCTAGCACAGAGATCAGCATATAGAGGGTTACTGATGGACGGGCAGGTTTAGAGCGAAAGCACCCATGACTCCAGGAATCTGATTCAATGTGAAAAAAGGTGTCTTCATCGAGGTTACCACGAGTCTCTCCCCAGACACACCCAATGGTGGGTTGGTGGTTAGCGCTGAGCTGGCATGTGGGGTCTTGGCCCCACCTCTGCCGCACAGGTACCAGACATTTCAGTTACCAGCTCCCAGTGAGTCTGACAGAAAAATCTTTCCCCGTCTTGCGCATTAGGAAGCACGGAGCTCAACTGGGAGGCGGGCCACAGGGTCCCAGTTGCTGCACAATCACTGAGTCCAGTGGGCCTTCACTTCTCTATCTGTGAAGGAGCAAGAAGACTCCTTACCATGCCCTGCCTTCCAGGCTGCCTCAAAAAGAAGATAATATCCGGCAGGGCTTAGAGTTTGTGAGAAGAAGCAGCTGAACAAACAGTACCAGGTATGATTATAACCTGTTGCCAGCAGCCCATTTGCTAAATATGGTGATTCAGGGGAAGGGAAAAAATTCAAATTGCACATCTAGAGTGAGTGGCTAGAATCACAACATGCCAAACTCTAGCCATCAAGAAGTTATCCAGTCAACTGCCCTAGATCTGTACCTAAGCAGCTGAGCAGGTGAGAATGATTTAAAGGGCTCCTGGAGCATAACTACTACGTGCTTATTTCAAATGTTCTTAAAAGACTATTTAATGACATGGAAAATTTTCATGGTATAATATGAAGAGAAAAAAGGTAGTTATAAAACTTTGCACGTTGGAGTTAGAAACACATTAGATTTAAGCACAGCAATGTGGATAGATCCTAAGAACATGGTGTTGGTCAAAAAGGAAAACAAGAAATATAGCACAAATTCATTATGAAAATTGAAAACAAAGGCATATCTAAATCATACACTGAATATATTAGAATGTATACCTTTTGGCTGGGGAGGGGAGAGGCCAAAAAAAAGAAAAAAGTGAAAGGCCTTTATGAGATCAGAGATGATAATATGCCCTGAATGGATGGGTAGATCTGATTTAGCCAGGCACTCAAGGGCCAGAAATCACAATCCAAAAAACCAAAAAAACAAACAAAACCAAAAAACCCACCCAAACAAAAAAAAAAACAGAAAGAAATGCTGTATACAGTATCATCTCAATACTGTAATACATATTTGCATTTCAAACTGTGGTTTTTTTCTGGGTAGATTTGAATGACATTTTTTTCTTCTTTCACGTTTCTGTGTTTCTGAATTTCCTAAATCTTCTACGATAAGCATATCTTATTACATAATCACAAAAAATGTAATAACAGAGGGCTTTTTTTTTTTTTTTTACAAGTATAGCCATGTTTATTTGTCAATCATACCTCAATAAAGCTGGGGGAAAATTTTTTTTCAAACAAGATAGCCATGATGAGCACTGGGTGGGGATACAGAGGATTGCTGAAGCACTACATTGCACACCTGAAATCGACACTGGATGTTAACTACACTGGGATTTTAAAAAATAAATAAATAAACAAGGACAGCCATGGAAAGAAATACTACTATGTCATTATTCAAAAGAATGAGGTAGATCTACATGTACTAACAGAGAAAGAAGGCTATAAATTTAATAAATTGACAGAAGGCTATCAGTTTAAAAAAACTGAAAAGCACGGAGTATTTATCATGACCCTGCATCTGCGCAAAGTCTGTGTATGTTATACACACGTTATTTATACATATACCTATGGTGTGTACGTATATAGTAACATATATACAAACATACATGCATGTAGTGTTTAGACACGGTGGTCTGTGTATAGAAAAATAAACTAGCAGGGTGCGTGGCGGGCTCA